TAAGCTGCTTCGTCGCCTGTTTCTGGGTCAGATATGAAATTGGGCCCTATGCGTTCTGCTTCGTTGGTGTTGACTTCTGCAGGTGTAACGTAACCGGTGTCGGCGAGGTCGAAATAAGTTTCGGCGTTGACGCTTTCGCGAGGATTTTCGTCGTCCATCGGGATAGGCACGGAGCAGTATGGGAGTGGTCCTGCTTCGTCTGAGGCGTTATCCACGTTCTGCTCGTCCCAGTCAGCTTCGTCTGCTGCCGAGGCGAAGGCTCGATCACCATGGAAGCCACCTGTGGGATCCCGATCTTCTTCCAGGTTGGCAAGATATGTCGGAAGGGTGAGTCGTTCGTAGAAAATGACGTCACGTGCTGCTACTGTTTCTTTGGAGTGGACGTCGAAAATCTTCCACGCGTTGTAATTTCTTTCGATGCCCAGGTGTAGTCCCCACTGTGCGCGTTGGGAAAATCGGCCGGCTCGTGCAGATGGGGGTCGGTACTGTACCATGCAGCCGAAAACTCTTAACATTTTTGTGCTGCCCTGTTTTCCTGTCCACAGCAGGTGCGGTGATGCGTTGTTCGGTAGTGACGACGACGAAAGCAAGTTGTGCAGCATGACAGCGTGGTCCATCGCTTCAGGCCACTGGTGATTGGGCAGTCGCATGCCACGCAGTAATTTGCGCATGGTGTTCTGGAGAGTTCGATTCATCCGTTCCGCTACGCCTTGCTGTTGATGGGCGTAGGGAAGCGAGATGAGCCTCTTGATTCCCCTTTCTGCCAGGAATTGCTTGAATCTCTGTGAGGTGTATTCTCCTCCTCCGTCTGACTGGAAGCTTTTTAATTTCACGCCCGATTCTCGTTCTGCTACTGGGAGCCAAGCGATGAAGGCTTCGAAAGCCATGTCCTTGCTCGGAAGATTAAGGTGCCAAACGTAACGTGTAGCGGCATCGATGAATGTGATGGTGTAGCTGTATGCTCCTTGTCCAGGTTCGTGATTGTACAGGATGTCGCTGTACACTTTCTCAAGTGGTGCGTAAGCTGGTGCGCTGGGGTTATGGTGAGAAGCGAATGGCCGATGTGGTAAGTCAGCTTCGGGACAAGTAAAGCACGTTCCACGAGCTCGTCGAAGTTCGGTTCCATCGGTTAGAAGCAGTGAATCTTTGTCGAGTACTCCTGCTCTGATTGTGTTGTTTAACACCGTGTTGCTTGGATGTCCCATTCGTGCGTGCCAGATGTCTTTGCTAGCGCGATGTCCGGGTGAGCGACGATACAAGTCGGAGTTGGAGTAGAAGCTTGCGGTGAAGTTTGCACTTCGATGTACTTCTCGTGATTTTGGGTGAAGCTGTTGCGCAGAAGTCGGTGGAGTGTCATCGATTTGAGGTGATGCAGTTGAAGGACCAGCGATTGGTGTCGATGTTGCTGCTGCTGCTGCTGTTGTTTCTGCTGCTGCCGATGTTGTTTTTGCTGTTGCCGATGTTGTTTCTGCTGCTGCCGATGTTGTTTCTGCTGCTGTCGAGTGTATGAATTGTTGCTAATGCTCTTGTTTGTTCTGCTTCAGGGATGGTGTGCGAGTACCAGAAGCCTTCTGAACTGAAGTCAGGGTCAAGATCCGGTGGATGTGTCCAAGAGGTGAAGGTGACGATCCCGTCGCTGTCGGCAGTGCCAAGATCTGGGACGAAGTCGAGGACGAAGACGTTGTTTTTCAGGACCGCCTTCCCGATGTAGAGACCACCTTTTCCGTGGTATAATTTGAACTCCTGAGTGGTACTATTTGCTTCGAGGTGGATGCCTTTCGCCATCAGTTGACTGACACTCAGTGAGTTGTAACCGAGTCCTTCTGCTATCAAAACCTTTGACATCTGCAGTATGGCGTTTGTCTCTCGTGACTGAAGTTGCACTACGCCTTGTCGTCGTGTGCGCAGGTTCTGATTGTTGGCGATGGTGATGACAACCTCGCGTTGAAGTTGGTGTTCACGTTGAACAAAACGTCCTGAAGAGCACATATGCTGTCCACAGCAGCTGTCCAAGAACCACGTATCTTTTCCGGACGGTTCGCTTTGAGCGATGGCTGCATAGGTCGGATTTGGTTGAAGTGACTCGCGGCGAGACGTGCTGTTGTCGAGTTGCTCTTCCGGTGAGTAATATGGTGGTGACTCTGTGATGCAGGAATCAGTAAGCCGTGTCATGCAACTGACGATGTTTCTTGTTCCTTGCGCAGGTTGTCCCGTCGATGTTGTTGAGACTTGTACTTGAGATGTCGAATTCGCTTGCGTTGAGGCAACTTGACTGCTTGAAGGCCGAAGCTGCCGCTGTGTTGGTACTGACTGTTGTCGGTTAGGGCAGTGTGTGCGAGGATGCCCTGACATCTTGCAGAGGTGACAGAACGGAGGTACTGGTTTCGGTTGATGCCGGTAGTTGTTGTTGTTGTAGCGCCGTTGAGTGTGGAATGCGAATTCGGGCACTGATGTCTTCCTTTTGTATCGTTCTTCTTGCAGGTCCATATCTTGCTGCTCAGCGTGGATTTCGGCGCAGAGTGCTGCTTCTGATATCTTTCCGTGCGCTCGGAGTATGGCGCGGGTGGAGCGCCACTGAGGACCGAGGCCGCCGATGATGACTGTGACGAAGGCGTCTTCTGAAATCGATCCTCCGCATCGATGGAGTTTGTCGCGCAATTCGCGACAACGGCTGATATACGCCATCCCCTTTTCGCCTGGTTTCATTTCGACTGTCGTTAGTTGCGCCATTAACCGACTTTGATTTACGCTGTCTGTTGCTTGATACAGGTTCTTCATGTGGTTGTACGCAAGCTCTGCAGAGTTGCCGTATCCCCGGTAAGACCGTATGTTCTGCTGCTGACTTGGAGTGATATTTCTCAGTAGTATTGTGTACGCCATCATTGACTGATACGTGTACTGCTGCTTATCGTACTGTGTGCCGTGTGTTGGATATGGCAGGGACCCGTCGAAGAAGCCAAGGATCTGCGCGCCTTCCATCATTAGCTCGAACTCGAATGACCAGGTAAAGAAGTCCTTTCCGTCGAAAGGTCTTGTCGTTTGTAGTTTTAAGACGTGCGCGAACTGCGACTGAACTTGAAGTGCGTCCAATGTCTTTTCTTGTCCAGATGCGGGCTGCGGGTGTGGCATAAAGCTGACGGAGCCACGCTGGGGCTCGTACAGAGCAAAGGTAGGCCGTTGCTGTTGATTTCCACGTGCGTAGGATGAACCGTCGAGGCTCATCGGTGTTGCGTTGTTGTTGCTGTTGTTTGACTGTGCAGGTGCCCCTTGCTGGTGTTGTTCGTAGAAGGACATGAAGGAGAAGAACTTCTCCATCATGTCTGGATCGAAGGCCGCAGCTTGATTTGCGGGAGTTTCTGAAGATGTTGCTCTTGGCCTTGTTGCCGTACCCTCCTCTGTCTGTAGGCCAGAGGCAGGAGGTGGAGTAGGAGTAGTACCGGGAGAGCTGTTAGAGGAGCTTCTCTCCTTCTGCGTTGCCATGTCTTGTGATGTTGTAGATATCTTGATCGTAGTCGAATTTGTCCTGACTGCTCTCATACCATGTTGGGCTGAAAAAGCCCTTAGGATCTTTGCAGGACAGAATTCAAGGGTAGGACAATGTAATAGCGGAAGCGTTTAATAAAAAGGATTGTGAACCACCTTGCGCTAGTATGTGAGGGCAAAGTTGATTGATTAAAACAAAGAGATACAAGCTTTTATAAGGATACAGGGAATATGAAAAGATACGGTTAATAACTGTTTTACTGTTGCTGTTGCGGTTCGATACAGTGTCGACTCGGGCAACTGCTCAGTATCGAGACAGTTGTTTGTCCTTGCTGTCGCGCTGCATTTGTCAGGTCAAAGGTCGCTGACTTTTGACTTTCGCGTAACCTCCAGTAGTTGTTCAACCTCCGAGGGTTGACTCGCTGATGTTTCGATATGATCTGCTTCGCTTCTGTCTTGGTATTTCGACACGACAGAGGCGCTTTAAATCAGTTGTTTCCAACAGTAGTAGTTTGTAATGAGTAATTTATAAAGAGTTTGTCTGAAAAGAACAGAGACTTGACAGGCCTTATAATCCACTCTTGCTCTCATACCATGTTGTTATAACTGAAGGATCGTAGTGGACAGGATAAGTATGTCAAGTTTCAGAGAAGACAATGAAGTCTCTGTGATGACCTTGTTAATAAAGTTGAAAGAGAACAAGATGATTATAAGATGGGAGTACAATGATATAATTAGCAATCCTAGATAGCCATGTACTCTAAGGGGTACATTCCCTTATTAACTGGTTTGCATTGCTACAGTTACCACGAGTCCGCGACTATTGCTCTTCTTGACAGTTACCATGTTGCATCGCGTAACTACCAAGTGCGGTTACTGGACGATCAAGAGTCACGACCGTTGACTGTCTTCGACTGTTGACTTTCGGGTGACTCTCGATCTTCCACGTGCTCGATATGAGCTATTGCGGTACTGGTACAGACGCGTTGCTTCGTTATTAAGAGACGCGTGAGTGGAGATCCTTCGGGAATGTTACTATAACCTTTCGGTTATTCCAACAGCCCCAAGCTTTAGGGCCTCAGCACCATTCTATGTGAGTAGCTCATACAGATTGTGTTACAGGTTCATCAAGCTGAGCCTCGCTAACAGGTGTCTCCTCCTAACAACACGTAAAACATTACCAAGACACTACTGGTACTAATTTGTTACCTCCGGGTACCAGCAGCTCCGAAAAAGAGCCCAAGTGACCGTTTTGTTCAGCAGAACATTCCAGGAGGCAAGCAGACTTCTCCCGTCCGCTGCAGCACCCACCCGGGCTGCAGGTGTTCAGATGCTGCCTGTCACGATTGAAAGTCACCTGTAACTAGCCGCATGGATTCTCATCCATCTGTACGCATGCACCATATAAACAGCTGCTGACCCATATAGTCTCTGAGAACACACATGTAAACCGCCCTAAAATCTCTTTCCATCACCCCCCCCCCCCCCCCACCCCACCCGCCCACCCCCCCTTGTAGCTAGTATCTATCCCGCGAGGATGGGATGTCACGTAGCAACGAGATCGGCAGCTTCGAAAACGCGCCCCCGCCGCCGCCCCTCTCAGTGTCGCTCTCTCCTCTCGATGCCGGCTCAGGCACTGCCCTGCCGCCGCTGCTGCTGCGCCGGCTGCCTGAGGACGACCGCTCGCGCTCGCCCCCGCCGCTGCTGCTGCGGCCAAACGCACTGCTGAAGCCACGCGTGAGGGGCGAGGTGCTCCTGGGGGATCTCTGTCCGGCTGGTGAGGGGTGAAAAAAGAATGTAGGAAGAATAGAAGAGATAACATGAGAGGGTCCACAAGCCGAACGCACTGCTGAAGCCACAAGTGAGGGGCAATGTGCTTCTTAGGGATCTCTGGCGTTGGTGGGGTTAGAAGAGGGGGGGTGGAGAAAGGAGGGGAGGGAGAGGAAGGAGGAGTTTTAAGAGGAGGTGAGAGGCACTGCTGAAGCCACGAGTGAGCGGAGAGGTGCTTCAAGGGGGGTCTCTGGCCGGATGGTGGGAGTGGAAGGGTGGTGAAGTGACAAGTAGTGGTTCTACAGCCAACATGCAAAATCACGAAGGAAATGTTGGTGCATGTGGGCCATGTGGGGCATTTGGGCATATGGGACATGTGGGGCATCGGGCCATGTGGGGCATTGGGCCATGTGGGGCGTACCAGAGGGGCTCGAGCTGCGAGCAGTGGCGCGAGACAGCAGCCCGCCTCCTGATGATGACGATGTTCCTGTGGCGCCTGACTTGACCTGCGCCTGAGGGGTGCACACACAGACAGACAGGCATCACACACACGCACAGAGGTGACATTTGAGTTGACGCATAAACTGGTGCCTGTGGCGCCTGACTTGACCTGCGCCTGAGGGGTGCACACACAGGCACAACGGTACGCACAGACATCACGCACATGAACACATGCATGCATACGCATGGAGTATTTGAGTCGACTCAAACGTCACGCCCTCATGATGCACCCGTGCCGCCTGACGTGACCCGAGCTCGAGGGATCCAAGACACGCCTGAAAATCACGCGCACAGACATCACACACGCTCATTGTCACTGAATGTCAGCCTTTTTCCTTCAGTACGCTCGGGCTTAGGCTTCCCTGGACGAGCCCAAGCTTGGGCTGTACACTAGAACGGACCCCAGACAGCCATGGGCCGTGTGGACAACCATAGGCTGTGTGGACAACCATGGGCCGTGTGGACAACCATGGGCCGTGTGGACAGCCATGGGCCGTGTGGACAACCATGGCCGTGTGGACAACCATGGGCCGTGTGGACAACCATGGGCCGTGTGGACAACCATGGCCGTGTGGACAACCATGGGCCGTGTGGACAACCATGGCCGTGTGGACAACCATGGGCCGTGTGGACAACCATGGGCCGTGTGGATAACCATGTGCCGTGTGGGCAACATGGGCCGTGTGGACAACCATGGGCCGTGTGGACAACCATGGGCCGTGTGGACAGCCTGGGGCAAACATGACCCTTGGCAGGTAGGCCGGGAAAACAAGCGTACGGGCGCACCTTGAGAGTGAAGTAGGCGTCGATCAGCTCGTGCAGCAGCGGCCGTGTGGCGCCGCCAGGTGTCATGATGGCATTGGACGACGGCAGCCCGAGCTCGTCCTCTAGCTTTGGTCGGCGCGGGTACACTGGCGGCTGGAGAAACGCAACGGAGAAAGAAATTTAGTTCAGTCGAACGAAAGAAACACCTTCAGCCAGACGGTTGCTTTCAACTTTGGACCAGGTGAATGCCTGGTCACGCTAACAGGTACGCTTGGAAAGTATGTACCGGGTAACATCCTGAGAAGTACACGTCGATCATACGTGCCAGGTTACATCCCAAGAGGAACACTTGGACCGTACGTACCAGGTTACACTCGGAGAGGTACACTTTGAGGGTATGGTCCATCTCCCCCCACTCCAGGTACTCGCAGAGCAGCGCCGTCAGCAGATGACCTGCCACGACGTCACCAGTAACCACAAAAAAACAACGTTACGGGGAGGAATATGTTACAATGAAACAATATTTTCACCAAAAAACGGCTGGAGACAACAAGTACTATCTATGTATGTGCAGCTCCCAGGTAATCTCACGTTTCAATGTAAAGCACGACAACCTCCCATCAGCTCACCTGTCTTGGAGTCGTGCAGGTTCTTCGCTTGCTCGCTGCAGCCGCCTCTCACGGCGCGTTGCTCGTCGCCGCTCGCCGTCTTGTCCTTGTCGTCGATCACCTCGAAGATGCTCGCTCGCAGCTCCGCCTGCCAGAAACAGCCACGACCCACGTCCCACGAGCCTCGATAATGAGAGCCTCAGTCACAAGTTACAAGACACGAGACATGGTACAGGAGACTCGGTAATGCGAGCAACTCACGAGTCATGAGCCACGAGCCTCGACAATACTTGCTTTAGTAAACGGATACAAGACTCGGTTCCTCAACTAGTCCCGTGCCCTCGAAGAAACCGATAACGTGGATTTTGAACCAGAATTGACACGCCTGAAGCAACGACATTCCATCTCAGAATCGGACTTTAACGTTTCAAAATCGTCGTCTAGGATACGTTTCGGTCTTCTCATACCTTGAGTCGAGCCAAGACACCCTTCTTCTCTAAAGCCTTCGTTACGAGAGTTTTTAACTCTCCCATCTCCTTGTTATACTCGTCTAGCGGAGTCGGGTGATTTTGAAGCGTCGCCATCCCCGCGTGTATTCAGCCTAGAGTGAGATGTTGAATGAGCTCGCTCAGGTCTAGCAAATATCCAAGTGAATGTTAATCCTTCAGAATATGCGTACTTAGACTGCACTGAGATTGTAGCTTCAGAAAACGCGAAGTGCGAGTGACGCCAGTGTAACTTCAATATATAGTTTACGGACCCAGGCACGCAATAGGAAATATAATATAATATGACCCTATGAATACTATAGCAAATAGCTGACTAAGCAACCTCGTTCTCTTGAGACTGCGGAAATAGAATATACTATGACCAGGGAACAAAGAAGTAAGTCGGTGATCGATGGAATGCGGAACAAGAGGTGGAGAGTGCGAGGTATCAAGCGACAGTACCAGATACACTTGCTTCTTGCGTGTGTTCATTTTTCAACTCACATACCATGGTTTCGCGGTTTGCGTTACGGTTATAGACGTTAAATTTTAAGCACCGCTAAATACCGTTCGATTTACTTTTTGAACCGTACTGGACGATCAGCGTACAACCAGGTTTTCTGGTCTCCTTGCTTGCTTCAGCTGACATCCAGCAAACAGATGTGTGAGGCGAGGTGCATTGCTTGTCCCCGACAGAGACGGAGCGCAACGGTCTGACGTTCCAGAACTGCTGATGAAGCGAAATAAGCGAAATAAAACGAATTGCAAACCAGTCTGGCGAAATGGATTAAGATCGCCAGCCTGGCATGTGTGTCAGACTGTGTGCAGTCTTTTGGAACCGCGCAAATGAAGTTGTAGCCTTTCAGGTTGTCCTCAGTGGTCCCGACACGGGGAGGGAAATGCTTGGAGGGAAAACTGACTGACAGACTTGAACCAAAACCCGTCGGTGGAAGTCTCAAACTGGATATGGATATTTGCAAACAAACTTCTTTAGGGAGAGGTCTTACATAATCTTGAGATATTGAGCATAACTACATACTGCTTCGAGAAAATTTGCATTATTATACGTTTCTTACTACCCCTGCATAATAGCGTCCAAAAAGGCATATACTACCACCATCCTGTCAAAATGCGGCGTGAATAGACATGTACATGCTATTGGCATGAGGTTTCATGTCCGCAGGAGGGGAATGATCAGGCGATGGCAAATCCAACGGCGGGGGAATGGACAATGGAGGCAGTCCCCTCTTACGAGCCCACTGTTCCCGAATCAGCCTCGCAGCCTTACTCACAGGAGCACCCGTCTCTCTCAACTCCCCCAAACCCAGCAGCAACCCCCCTAAACTGCCATCCGAGTCTCCAACACTCACACTCCCTTCATCCCGCCCTCTCTTATTTGACCGCCCAGACATGCTGAATGATGAGTTTGCGGATTGTACGCGTGGCGAGGTGCAAACGGTAGATATACCCTCCGCTCTGAGGCTTGAGATAGCCGCGGCTGCTTCTCGGGCCGCTGCCGACGCCGGGAAGAGGGGAAGCTCTGTGATGGCTGCTGCAGCATTCAGACAAGAGTCCGCATGGACCGGCAGTGGGAAATCAAGAGTGAAATGTGCAGAGCGTTGAGCATCGGCTGGCGAGGAGTCCGGTGCGACCGAAGGTCCGGCAGCCCATGTGAAGTCGCTTGCCGAAGCAGCCGCCGAGCCTGACGCCGAGGCTGAGAACGAAGCGGAGGCGTGAACGGGGGCGAGGGCGAGAGAGAGGGTGGATGGGGAGCGGGCGAAGCATGTGGGGTGGGGAGGGTACGTGACTGGGGAAGGCGTTACTGGGGAAGATGCTACTGGAGCAGGCGCAGCTGCTGCCGGAGTAGGAGGAGCAATAGCACCCATAACAGCTGTACCACCCATACCACCTGCACTGCCCACATAGGCCATATCATCCATATCAGCAGTCTCAAACCCAGGGCTTGCAGCAGGCATGGCATCAGCAGCAGCAAAAGCAGGGTGTGAGGGAGGATGAGGAGCATGCGCGGCGGCGTGTGTGGCGGGGGGTTGAAGATGAAGCGGGGAGGGGAGGGAGGGAGGGGGGAGAGCCGCATAGTCGGATAGAGGAGGAGGTGGTGAGGAAGAGGTCATGGGAGGATAGTAGGGAGGCTGCTGCTGCTGCTGCTGCTGCTGCTGCCATTGCTGCTGGTCCTGCTGCTGCAGCTCCTGCTGCCATTGCTGTTGGTACTGCGGCGGTGCCTGGTACTGCCGTTGCTCCTCCTGTGGAAGTGCTGATGTGGGATGGGCTGATGCTGGGAGTGGTGCTGCTGGCTGCGCTGGTGTTTGCTCCCTGGATGCTGGCTCCCCATTGGACGGCTCCCACATGGCACACGCAACAGGATGGTCCAATGAGAACCCGCCATCTGGCACGTGAACAGTATCCGGGGCGGCACTCGGTTCTCGAGACTGGTTGGTCCCTGTGAACAAGAAAGGCTGCTGGAAAGGCTGCTGGAAATGCGGCTGGAAAGCCTGTTGTTGCTCTTCTCCCTCTCGCGCGCTTCGTCCTTCCCCCACGCCCTCCACTTCCCCATGTTCCAGCTTTACCGGCGCCATCCGCGCAATCGCGACCCCGCGTTTCCCCCCGTCCCCCCCCGCGCCGGCCTCCGCCTCCCCTTGTCCCCCGCCCGCCACCTCCCCCACATCTCGCCCAGGAAGCTTCGTCAGAAGCTCCTGCTTAAACTTCTCTACGGTCCCCTTGATCATCTCGGTACAGTCACCCCCGTTTACAGTCACATTCTTGTCGGAGGACAGGAGCTTTGTGACCATATCGAGCAGCGCAGTTGCTTCCGCTTCAACTGGTGACGTGGCATTGGCGACCGGCGCGCGTTCAACGTCAAATATCACCGTCTCATTTGAGGGCGAAGTCAGCCCCGCGCCGCGCGACGCGCAACCGTCCGCTCCGCTCCCCTTTAGCGCGCGCTGCTCAGGTTCCCGGGGGCTGCCCGCTTGCGACCCATCCACCTGCCCGTTCGCTTCCGCCAGTCCTCGACCCCGCGCCAACGTTGCGCCTGCCCCTTGCGCCGCCGATTCCTCCCCCCGCTCTCCCTTCTTCCCGCCTTGGCGCCGCTCCCGCTTCTCCGCGCCTGCACCCGCAGCCTTTGCGCCGTCCGCCCTGCGCCCGCCTTGGAGCGTCCAGAGCTCCGCCATGATCGCGGGGAACGTCGCCTCCCCCTCGAACAGCGCAACAACAGGAGATTCTCCGCCGTTTGCGCTACCGGCGCCGCTGGAAGGGAGACCGGCGTAGAAACTTGACGGCGCTGGCAATTCCGCAGCATAAAACGGCGCATCAGCCGGCCGAATCGAAAGAGCCGTTACTCTCGGCGACTGCGCGCCGAGCGCGGGGTTCTTTTTCGCCGCGCCGCCCGCGGAGCGTCTTAGCGCGGGAGGCGGGCGCGGGCTCGCGGGGACTCTGGAGTGACTGCGCTGCTCGTTTTGCGGCTTCGCGGGCTTCTCGTCGGGTTTTGCCGGTCGTGGCGACGGCTCAGCGCCGCCAGCCGACGAAAACCGTTTCTCTGACGGATTCCGACGACTTTCGTTAACCGCAGCGAGATCTGCGCCCGGCCCGAAGAGAGCAGTCAGCAGCGCGTTCGCCTCCTCAAGTGCGCGCATCTCCTGCGCCGACGGCGCGGGCATGGCGGAACCTCCGCCCTGCGCCGCCGCCTTTCCGCGTGCTGGAAGAACGCCGGCGTGAGCGCCGCCGCGGGGAATCGGGGGAGTATTTGGGGAAGCGGGCGGCGAGTGCTTGGCGGAAGGCGGAAAATCGTGCCCCTTGGCAGGAGTGGATTTCGCCCCAAGCGCGTGCGGAGGCTGCGCGGGTGAGGCGGAAGCCGCGGAAGCGGCGCAGCCTGAAGGGCTGGTGAGCGGGAAAGCGGTTGCCGGCCATTTACGCTCAGTCTTGGGGGACGCCGCTTCAAAAGGCGGCCATTGCTCCGTCTTGACCTGCGCTGCCTTGCGCAAGGCGTCCGCCCATCCTCCACCCAACGCGGCCATACTGGGTCGGAAACAGTAGATTAGAGTAGATAGCAAGAAATAAAAATTTATATGACCAACATAGGTTTCCGTACTCAAGCCCGAAGCTAAGCTACTGGTGGTATCGTGCGCTTGAGCAAAATGCGTCAAGAAAGCTTAGATCTGATGAACAAGGTTCTGCGAACACGCAGACGACTGTTCCGGCGTTCCACCTTTCAGTGCGTATGAGAGGAGATAACTATACAACAAAAACTTGGGACTGCACGTCTGCCGCAAGGGCCGCTGTTCGTCTGTCTCTTGAACTTTACTTGTCTCACCGGTCGGCAATCGGCAACTGTTCCACTTCATGCGATGAGGGGACTGTGCATATGAGGGGGGGGGGAGTCGGGGCTGTGTTGCTCCCGCAGGCCAGGTGCTGTGTTAGTGGCGCAGATGAAGTAGGCGCGGGGAAATGAAGAAGAAAATAAAACCCAACCCGAGCCGACGCGGAGAAGGCTTGGGGGAGGGTGACGTGACGAGAAATCAGGCACAGCCAAATGTTGAGCGGGTGGGGAGCGGATCAGGTGTCGGGCTGTCGTGATGGTGTTAAAACCTGCCCGTTGCTCTGAATGGGACGTTTCGGTTGAGTGCTGCGGGTGATACCGTATTGTTTATTCCGAAACTACAGAGACCCGTGCTTAGTGGAAGACGAAACACAAGGTGGGTCTCTAAAAAACTACAGCCCAGGTGCGGCTCCTTCGCTGCTTTTCCCAGCTGCCTCCTAGCATTGTTGTTGTGACTGAGTGAGGATACAAGGTGAGCCTGATTCTGCACAATATTCATTCTTAGGATTTGGCTCTCTGTTTATACAATGAAAAACGTTGACTTCATGTTCGATCTACTGCCCGGAATCAAAAGTTCAAGCAAACCAGGGATGCGACGCGTTGCCTGTCATACCTAGGTGATAGGAAACGGGCTAGCCGCCGCATGTATCGGCTCTTCAAGATTCACCTGACAACACAGCAACATACCCCTGACTCCTGAGACAAAGGCACCCGACATGAAGCTGGTACCTGAATCTCTTCGCTACAGAAAGTCTCTGGCAGCAAACAACTAACTATTCATAAATAAACATACTTCTAAATGGTTGATTTGGAAGAGCTAACCCATAAAACACAAATTGTTGCAATCCACAAGCGCTGCAACTTGTAGCGAAGTGACAGAAATTTTATTACTGGAGCATGATCTTTTCCGGGTGGATATAAATAGAATACAATTACTAAAACCCTCAGAATAGCATGTAGCGGAATGAATGACTAGCAAAGGGTTGGGTTACAAAATGACAACCCTAAAAGGGTTGCACCTACTATAGAGTACCTCACTAAAGCCTAATAAGCAATTATTTAATTTGATACACCTCCATAGGCTAAGTGAGGGGCAACAAAACGAGCAAGAGAGACAAATGTGTCAAACATATGTATAGCTATGTTATATTTTGGGTAGGCTTAGTGGGGTACACATTGTAGGGTACAACCCCTTAGGTCAATTTTCCTTTGTACCACCATCTCGATAGTCGACACTCAACCATGCCTAACTTCTAAGATGGTATCTAGAGCATAGGTCGTTAGGACCTAAGATTAGGGCCCACCGATTACTGCATTACTTCGTCTGCCTTGCCTGCTGCCCGCGCGCGCCTCGGCTACACGCGCGCGGCCTCTTTTTTTTTCCGTGCGCGCCACTTAAGCAGCCCGCGCGTAGCCCGTTTTCGGCCCCGCGCGCCACGTCAGCCACCCGCGCAGCCTGCCGTCGGCCCGCGCGCCGTGTAAGCCGCCTGTGCGCACCTGCTTAGGCCCTGCGCGCCGCGTCCGTGTAGCCCGTTTTAGGCCCCACGCGCCGTGTAGCCCGTTTTAGGCCCCACGCGCCGTGTAGCCCGTTTTAGGCCCCACACGCCGCGCCAGCCGCCCACGCAGCCTGCTGCCAGCCCGCGCGTCGCCACGAGCAGCCTGCAGCTGCGCGCGCTGCCAGTAGCCACGTGCAACCTGCAGCCTCGTGCAGCAAGCCGCCACACGCAGCCAGCAGTCTCACGCAGCCCTCAGGCCGCTCCTGCCTGCTGCCTACCTGCTGCCTGCCTGCATGCCTGCTTGCTGCCTGCTGCCGCCTGCCTGCAGCCTGCCTGCTGCCTGCCTGCTGCCTGCCTACTGCTTGCTGCCTACTGCCGCCTGCCTGCTTGCTGCCTGCTGCCGCCTGCCTGCAGCCTCCCTGCTGCCTGCCTGCTGCCTGCCTACTGCTTGCTGCCTGCTGCCGCCTGCCTGCCGCCTGCCTGCCTGCCTGCAGCCTACCTGCTGCCTGCCTACTGCTTGCTGCCTGCTGCCGCCTGCCTGCTTGCTGCCTGCTGCTGCCTGCCTGCTACCTGCCAGCTGCCTGCCTACTGCTTGCTGCCTGCTGCCGCCTGCCTGCTTGCTGCCTGCTGCCGCCTGCCTGCCGCCTGCCTGCCTGCCTGCTTGCTGCCTGCTGCCTGCCTGCTGCCAGCCTGCTGCTTGCTGCCTGCTGCCGCCTGCCTGCTTGCTGCCTGCTGCCGCCTGCCTGCGAATATGGCGACGCCTAACGTTCTAGCGTTCGAGCCCGACGGACGTCCCATCGAGTTCACTGTGTGGTTAGACGATCTCCAGCTATTCCTTCTGACTGATGCCAAAGAGGGCGTTTCCCTGTTTGATTACGTCTCTGGCACTGCCGTTACTCCTGCTGCTGATGCTCCTGCTCTAGAACGTTCCCAGTGGCAGACCCGTGATGCTGCTGCACGCCTAGCTATTAGGAACCACCTGCCGATTACTGAGCGAGCGCATTTCAGCCAGCACAGAACTGCTAAGACACTGTACGACGCTGTAGTTGCGCGCTACTCCTCCCCGGCCACTGCCGCCATAGGTCGACTCATGCTACCGTACCTGTTCCCCGATCTTTCCTCGTTCACCACTGCTGAGGACCTAGTTTCTCACCTGCGCGCTACTGACTCTCGCTTTCGTGCCGCCCTTTCAGCCGAGTTCTGCGCCGCAAACCCCCCCCCGATGTACTTCACTCTCTATTTCCTCGTCACCCGCCTCCCTGACACTCTTAGCTCTGTCAGGGACCACTTCCTAGCGCTAGACCCCACCACTCTCACTGTCGACGACTTCGAGAAGCACCTCCTCGCAGCAGAGAAGAACATCCTCGCTGTAGGTGCTGCTCGTGGCACCCCTCGCTCTCCCCTCTTTGAGGGGTGCTCCCCCTCCCCTCTCACCCCCTCCTACGCCTCCGCAGCTGCTGCTCACGACTACCTTGGTGCTGAGGGGGTCGGAGCTTCTTCCGCTCCTAGTGGGAAGCGTCGCAGCGGCAGGGGCGGCAGGGGTGGCAGGGGCGGTGGGGGTGGCGGTGAAGGTGGCGGTGGTGCAGGCGGCGGGGGAGGTGGAGGTGGTGGGGGTGGTCGTGGGGGTGGAGACGGTGGAGGTGGTGGTGGGGGCGGCGGAGGCACTGGGAGCGGTGGAGGGGGCAGCAACGGCGGTGGGGGAGGAGGGGGCGGTAGTGGCATTGGTGGTCAGGGCCAGCAGCAGCCGCAGCAGCAGCAGCAGCAGCATCAGCGTCAGCGCCAGACCCCCACTTCCCAGCAGCTTCTTGACTGGTATGCCGGGCGTGGGGCTTCTGGGGTTCCTGGTCGCTGCCCCTATATCATCCGCACAGGTCCCCGCGCTGGTCGCCAGTGCACAGGTTTTCACACTGAGCAGCGGTGCTTCGCTCGGCTTAGCGACGCCTGGCGCGCCAAGTTTCCTGATGCTACTGAGTTCCCCAACTGGGCAGACTTGCTTAGACGTGATGTACCTATCTTTGATCTTGACTATGAGGCAATTCTTGCTGCTATGTATGCCTTGTCTGTTAGTGCTGAGGGTGACTGCTACTTGTGTGTGCCGCCGGATCCTGGTATAGCCCCTGGTATAGCCCCTGCAGCACTAGGTGCTTGTGAGTCTGCTCCCCTTGGTACTGCGCCTGCACAGGCTTTGCACACATTTACACTTGACTCTGGTGCTTCCCGCTGTTTCTTTTGCGACAGTACCACAGTCACTCCCCTCCCTGCACCCGATCCTGTCTCACTGGCTGACACCTCTGGGGGCTCAGTGCTTGCACGGTCTTCCACTGTGCTTCCGTGTCCGGCGGTCCCGTCTGGTGAGCTGTTTGGTCTCCACCTCCCCTCGTTCTCTACGAACTTGGTGAGTAACGCTGTCCTCCAGGATGCGGGGGTTGACACCTTCACCCCTGGCCGGCAGCGTGTGGCGATTTGCACGTGCTCCCAGACTGGTCGCCACCTGGCCACGTTCGCTCGTGCGCCAGGGTCTAGTCTCTACACCCTCACCACTGCGTCACGCTCCACCCCTTTGTCTCCCCAGTTGCACGCGTCTGCTCAGGTAGCTACACAGTGTGAGTGTCGCCGGCTGTCGCACGACACTCTCCTGTGGCACCACCGCCTTGGTCACCCCTCCCTGCCTCGCCTACGCAGCATGCACTCCCGCTTCCTGGTTTCTGGTCTTCCCAGGTCTCTGCCTCCCCTCCCTCCCTCGCCTGCGCCGCCCTGCATTCCCTGCGTCGAGGGGCGGCAGCGCGCCACTCCTCACTCCTCCTCGTTCCCTCCCACAGAGGCTCCACTGCAGACTCTCCACCTGGACGTGTGGGGCCCAGCCCGCGTCCGTGGACAGGGCCACGAGCGGTACTTCCTGCTGGTTGTCGACGACTACACGCGCTACACCACGGTCTTCCCCTTGCAGCGCAAGGCGGATGTCCCTGATGTTTTGATCCCCTGGATCCGCGCTACTCGTCTCCAGCTCCGCGAGCGGTTCCAGTCGGACTTTCCTGTCCTGCGTCTGCACTCTGACAGAGGTGGTGAGTTCTCCTCAGACCTCTTGGCAGCCTTCTGTGCGGAGCACGGCATCCGCCAGACTTTCACGCTTCCGGCCTCTCCGCAGCAGAATGGGGTTGCTGAGCGCCGCATTGGCTTAGTCATGGAGGTCGCTCGTACCTCC